CTCGTAGATCAATCGATTTTAATGTTAAAATCGGAAAAAATTATGAGACAGGCTAGTAATAATGCTATGCACTTCTTGATGATTATTTTCAATGTTTATATTCTCAAAAATTTCCGGAAATATTTCAGAGTGCTGTCAAACCTTTGCGACGTTGGACGCATAAGGGTGTAATGATGCACTTGACCTACCTCGGGCAATACTCTTGGAGCTGGAGCAATTGCCAGCGGAGCATTTTCTGGTCTTCTAAAAAAACAATAATTAAACTTGTAAGATGGGTGTAGCCGGCAGTCTTCCGATTATTTCAAACAAACTCACACAAAGCGCAAGAAACGATTTATGGTTGGCTGTCTTTCCACCCTTGTTTCCTCGTTTTCCAAAGTGTTTTGGTCGAAACGCCATGATGTAGCCTGCAGCATTTATTTTTTTGAAGATTCATTGTTTATGGGAGTACTCAGATTTTTTCTGTACATGTTATTTTCCCCAGAACTGTTTTTTCTGCGCTACAGAGAAATGTACTTACCGTACTCCTCACGGGTCGAAAATCATCAGAGATTTTATATGGCTGGCAGCGCACAAGATGTGACATAAGTATACTATCATCTTTCAACCACCACGGTGTGCGTACTTGTGGTGTCATGGAGCCAAATAATATCTGTATTGGAAGATTTAAAAGAGTAGATTAAGAGAAAAAAAAATAAAAAAGCCCCACATCAAATTTTCGCCATTGCGCGTACTTCTTCGATCTTTTAAGCTGGTAGTAATTTCCATATAAAGTAAGAGATTCCAGCTTTTTTGGCATAATTGTCTCCAAGGCATCAAAGAACGTGTTTTCTTCGAAGCAATCCATATAGATGGAAATTTTCGATAGATGGAGTTTCCTGAGCGGAAATTGCAATGATATTCAGCAACTAGATATTAGTGGACCGACGGGGGAGGGGGGAAGGGGAGGGAGTTACTAATGTGTAACTAAAATAATTTCTAAGTTTTTAAAAGTCCAGAAATTTTCGTAAATGACAAGCCCACTAGAAAGTTGAGAAACTCCCAGTC